CATATATAACTCTCAGTCTAAAAGAAGGCAATACACACACTCATGAAGTGAAGCAGGAAATGAAAACAGAATCAACAGTATAATGATAACAATGTTGAGATTTAAAACCAGGCATGACACTTATCTCATCAAAGGAAAATGGTGCAAACATTCCCACTTAAAGGCAAATTTTGCTTGAGAGATGGAAATAGCAAGAACTAACTACATGTTGCCTAAAAAAAACCCCAAATTTTTATGTGAAAACACAAGTTAAAAATACAAAATATTTTACCATGTTGACACCAATCAAAAGAATCTTAGGTTAGGTATGTTAAAATAAAATAAAATTTAGACCAAGGGATGATAAAGAGAGCTGTTTTACAGTGATAGGAAAACTCATCAAGAGGACAAAACAATCCTAAATGTCTAGATACCTAATATCAGAGCTTCAAATCACATGAAGCAAAAACTGACAATATAAAGAAGAGTAGATAAATACAGAATTACATTCAGATATTTAAGTAACTCTGTCTCAATATTCAGAAGGAAAAGTAGGCAAAAATATTTCATGAAGACATTGAATATTTGGTTTGCACTATGAAATAACTTGATCTCATGGACCTTTATAAAATATAAAAATATTCCACAATGGCATAATACATGTACTTCTCAAGTGCATACAACCATTTGTCAAATTATATACTATTCAGGGCCATAAAATGAGTCTCAATAAACTAGGTATCATTCAAATTGTATATACTCTTAAACTAATATAATTAAATTGGAAAAAAAATACAAGAAAGCTATCTGAAATCTTTGTGGAAATACCAAAGTACTTCAAAATAATAATTTTCTTAATAACTTATGGGGTCTATACTGAAATCACAGGGAACTTATAGAATATTTTGAACTGAATACAAACATAGCATATTAAAACATTGCTAAAGAAATATTTAGGGAGAAATATTCAGTAATAAAATAACAAAAATCAGCATGAAAATCAGTGAAATAAAAATAAAAATAAAGTCAATGAAACTAAAGATTGGCTTTTTGGCAAAATATACAAACTTGATAAACCTTTAGGTAGACTGATAAGAAAAAAAAAACAACAAAAACAAAAGGCTCAAGATAATAAAGTAGGCAACTAGAGGTTTGCATTACGACATTAATACATATTATTAACTTTATACCAATAAATTTGGCAAACCAGATGAAAGATACAAATTCCTGGAAATACACAAAACATGATTTAAAAAGCTTACTCAAAAAGAAATAGATGATCTGAACAGTCTTGTAATTACTTTTTTAAATTAAATTATGTACTTTCCCACAAATAAAACTCCAACCTCAGATGTCTTCATTAGTGAATTTTACCAAAAATTTAAAGGAGAAATAATTCCAATTTTATAGGAACTCCTCCAGAAAATTTAAGAGATTGGAGGGAATTCTTGCCAAGCCTTCCATTAGGGCAGATACTGTTACCAGAAAAAAAGACATTATGAATGTAACAATGTGATGTAAAAATGTTCCAAATTCCAGCAAGAAGACCTTGCTTTCATCTTTATTCAGGCAATCAACATTAAAATAATTCTACTTTATTAATATGTTAATTAACAAAATATGAAGAGATTTATTGTCAATCTAGAATTCTCAATTCTAATTAATATAATTTTAATAGTCTTTTATTCTGGTAAGAGAGATATAATATGAATTCTGCCATTTTAACAATTTGTGAGTATACCCAGTTACATTCACAATGCTATGAAATCATCACCAATATCTGTTTCCAAAATTTTCCATCTCACCAAGTAGAATCTCTGTACCTGATAAGCAATTATTCACCATTCATTGTGTCCCTGGTAACTTCTAATCTACTTTCTATTTTTATGAATTTCCCAATTTTACATATTCATGTATGTGAAATCATACACTATTTGTCCTACTGTATCAGGTTTATTTCACTGATCCTAATATTTTCAAGGTTCAGTCATGTCTCATGTATCAGAAATTCATTCCTTTGCATTGGGCATATTTGAAATCAGTAGCACAAGAGAGGGTGATAACAAACACATGACATTTTTATATAAAACCATTTATCTGGGATGAAACTAATCTGGGACTTTAAAGCATCCTAAATGGACTTCAAAAATATTATCAAAATATTTTCAACAAACACCATTACTCTGGAGAACCATGCTATTTCTCAGATTCACTCCATTTTTAAACATTGGGAAATGAGGAATGAGGTGATGTTGTTAGGCAAATTATTTTGGAGTTCAAGGTTTCAATGGTTAAAAAAGCATTGGAGGGAAGCTCAAATGAGGTTGGACACAGAGTATGGTGGCACCAAGGGTGTAGTATAGTACAGAGCTGCTAGTGACACTACATATGGTAATAAAAACATACATTTTTATCAATGCCTACTGATGGATGTATTCACATCCTCAGTGTTGAAATCAACTTCTCATGCTCTGATAAAAAATACACAATATTTTTTTCAATCACGTATGGATTGATTGAGAAATTATTGGCAGCAAATTCAAGTCTCTACAGAGATCTGTATTCCACCAGATAAAACAACTGAGATAGAATTACTGCAACATTGGGACTTTTTCTATGGTTCATGGTATCATCTTATTTGTTTTAAAACAATTTTAAAATATAATTATTCCAACTAACAGAGGATGTAGGATCCCAAAGGAAAGTCAGAGAGAGCTGAAAACAGTGAATTTGACATGGGACCACTTCTTTCTGCAATTGATGGTTTGAAGAAGGAGGAAAGTGGTTATGACCATGTTGCCCTCAGGCTTTTGGCAACTGAATCCTAGGTTCTAGTTCTGCATGACATGTCACTTGGAGATGTGAAGATAAGACAAGAATAATGAGTCTCTAGAGTAGACACATGTAACACCAAGAAAGCTTCAAGAATGCTCTAATCTGAAAAGAACTTACTGGGAAAATGTGCACTTTTTCATTTTTGTGATATGGGACACCCAGAAACAAGGGCTTTGATACAAACTTCATGACAATAGAAGTCATATTTCTTCCAGTACATAAAGCAACAGCAATATAAAAACAATGTAGTGTTCGGATATTTGTATAAAAGGTAGCAGAATCTACTTTTGATGCTGAGTATTCAAAAATATCTTTTTTATATGAAAAGGCAACCCATCGATTTAATTTACCTAAATGAGTTAAATGAGGAAGACAATAAACAAAAAAGGGGAGGTTAGTTGGTTGGGGAAGGTGTTTATTAGAAAACTAGATGAGTTGGATTATAGTACAACTCTTAAACCTTGTCTATATAGAAAAAAAGTTATAATGACCTAATTAAGCCACCTTAATCTATATATTATAATTTAATTTTTAAAATATACTAACAAATTAATATAAAATTTTTTTATTCCTAAGAGTGTTTGAAAATTTTATTTTGAATACTTCCCTTCACTTTTCACTTTTGATCATATTATCGGCAGTAAAGCAAATGCTTACAGATAAGAGAAACAAAGTGAACCAAAATAAGCGTGTCTGGTTCATCATATCTGATAGAGGACACATGTGTCACCAAAGTGTCCCAACAATGTTCTACAGTCATCTGAAGAAGACAAATTTGGTTTTCCAAAGTAATACTCAAATTATTTAAAGTACTTAAATGTTTACTCTTGCTTTAAGACTTCGTGTTATTATGTTAGCTATCTGTGTTTGCAATAATATTTGCAAGGCTCTATTGATTCTGTTAATAATATTTTATATCATTTTGTTAATCCATAGACCCCAAATTTGCATTTCATTTAATTTTTCAGCGCCAAAAGTTAGGGAAGATACAAATAATATGACTTCCAACAATCATATATCATATATAATATGAATTCTGCCATTTTAACAATTGTTAAAATATGTAACTATGATATGTTTGAAAGAATCCTTCAAATGATTTATGAAATGATTTTGTCAAGTCTAAAAACTTTGTAATATCTTAACACTGTCACAATTTTTCCTCTCTGACATAAACATTATGCCTTTACATATAAAATATGACTCTCTGGGCTGTGTTTCCTGCTTGGGTTCTGCTCCTTGGGTTTATGTTATCTCATATTGTACAAAGTCATTTTGTGACCAATTTCCAGAGTACTGAGTCACAGTCTGGCTGTTGCTTATCTTTTCTTTTTTCCCCAAAGAGACTGTTCTTGTTTCTCATTTTCTGATAATTCTTTTATACAAATAAGCTTTTTCCATAATTAAATAACTATTTGTCACATTGTAGTCCTGAGGATGTGTGCTGTTATATTTTGGGCTTTTCTTTACTACCAGAAGCAAAATTTAATATCATTTTATAACCAAAAGGAACAGACAATACTCATGAAAACATGTAATCTGGTGCTTCAATTGAAAAAATTTCATGATATTTAGGTTTTATATGATATATATAGATTTGATCATAAATATTCTTATTTAAGTATCTTAGAATATGAGGGAGCCTTAGATAATTAAGTATCTTAGAAACCAAATAAAAATATTTCCATAGTGATTAGTTAATGAAAGCAAAAATATTTGATTTAGGTTTTAAGAACTGTAATGTTTATACTTCCTTTTAAAAAACACCAACTAATAGCAATATAAAAAATATTCTTTAAACAGAAGATGATAGATGGTTGATATTATAGTTTTTTATATGTTACTAAATAAAATTTTATAACCAGATACAATTACTAAAGAATTCATTTACAGTTTTAAAATAATAGAGAAACTGCATCTCATTAACTGCTCACAACAGTGTTCATGATCTGATACACAGAAACAATCGTTGCTCACATATTTGCTTAAGAACTAAAGGCAAATGCTAAAGTCTGAATTTTGCATTGTAACATGAGTCTGCTTTATTTCTGAGGAAAAGCTGATTTTCATTTTAAAGAAAGAGATGGTAGTTCTCCTTTCCCGATCCTTCTCGCCTGCTTTTCCCCCAAGAAAAAGAATTAAAAGTTATTTCTCATGGGCTAGACAGCATATTCCCAGGTACTCACGAGTAAAACCTCTGACGAAAGTTCTTGGAAAGATTTTTTCAAAACGGACTTGAGGCTATTTTGTTTTCCCTTCCAGGTATTGAAAAGAGGACTTAACTTCTTCACTTCTTTTAAACAGATCAAGAAAGTGGGAAGTGGAGAATACTGAAAGAAATGCAATCTGATCCTGCTAGCAGGGAAAGGGTGAGGTAAATTGGAGGATTATCCAGCCCAAAGTCGCTGTGTGTTTAGGAAGAGAGAGGGAGCCTTGGAGTCTGTTTCAGAGATCACCAGCTGGGAGTAGCCTGGCTTCCTGTTAGGTCATGCTAGCTCTGACTCTATTTAGTCTCATTTTGCCAAACTCTTCAAAAGCCTGCTGTCCCCCCACCCCCGCCCCCATTATGAAGAAACAAATGAAGGAAACAGTTTGCACTGTTTCAGATGTTACTAGAATTTTTAAATAACTTTTTTTTCCGCTTTCCAGGATTTTTTTTTTTACTTTATATATTTATCATTACATTGTTAATAAATGAGCTTTCTTTTTGCAGCTAATTTCTTATCTTCTTCAAATAATTTCACCCACACTGTCAATACAGTTCTGAAAAAAAAAAAAAAAAAAAATATATATATATATATATATATATATATGGATTATCTGAGGTCACTTGGATACTGTGTTGTCAAATCAAAATGTCAGGCTGTGAACCCTCTTTGGCTACTTGCTTACTTTGCAACTTTGGCCAAGTTATTTAAATTCTCTCTGCCTCAGTTTCTTTTGGTCTAAAATGGTAATGATAATAATTCCTAGGCTTGATAAACATACTAAATGGGTTAAAATGTGGAAAGGACTTAAAAGGCAGGCCTCAGCACATAGCAAACCTCCAATAAGTACTATAATTATTGCTGTTGTTCATATTATTGTTTTACAGAATATGTAAATATTTAGAGAAGTTACTCAGCCTTGTGCTGTTGTAAATCTCTATCATTGAGGTTAATGCTTGGTATTTCTTTAATGGAACTATGGTCATAACAAGCTGAAGATTTGATAAGATGGCAAAATCTAATTTCATTTTGAATGCTGAAGTCATTTGAGCCCCTAATCCCCCAGTTCCTTGTTTTCTCCATCTCAGATTCTCTTTGCACTTTTCAACTTTCTCACTTATTTCCTTTCACCTTTGAGCCAGAGGTAATCTTCCCCTTTGTGTGTAATTTAATTGCTTTATTTAATTCTTGCAATTAGCCCCTGAAGATCTGTTCTGTATGCTCACTGCACAGGTCTAAGAAGCTAGGTCCTGCGTAAGGGGTTGTGATTCAAATCATGCAGCCTGAATTCAAAGCACAGGGGTTAAATCCTTCCCATGATGCTTCCTCTCCTATGTTCTGAATTTCATAACATTAACACCGACCATATTGTTGCCTCATGTCCAGCCCCTCAGCCATGACTCATGCTCCCTTCTCACTCATGTAGTTGCAGATAGAGGCTTTGTAGGCTCTCCTGAGGTAGACATAAACTGTACCCATCAGATTTCCTTTCTTGAAAACTTGAAATAAGATGAAAAAAAGTAGACATGACGGCTAGACTCAATGAAAGAGTGTGTAGGGAAGGCCTGGACGCCATAATGGTTGTGTTCAAGATAATGATGTGAAGAAAGCTAGTTCAAGGTGAATGATGAAGAGAATAGAGGTGAGAGAACATGTAGCCTCTGAGAGAGAGAATTAGGGAGGGATGAAGGCAAGAGTAGGAGTGAGAAGCCAGTATTAAGAGTTTGAAGTCAAAGACATACATGAATAACTTATCTTCAGTTTTTGAAACCATTAAGTATCTCATTTTTTTTCAATTTATAAATGAAGATTTTTTGTTTTTAATCCATCTCCTAGGGAAGCAGGAACAATTAGATATATGCTAGGGATAAGGGGAAATACTTGACTTGTCTTCCTATCCTTTCTATGGTATATTATATGATTTATTTGAGTGTGTTTGCTGCCCTGCTCGCTGGTCTCTCCTTGGTTTCCCGTGAGAAGAATGTATTTCCTTCCCCATTAGCACCAGATTTTGCTACCTTAGCAACTTGGGCAAATAGAATTAATAGAAGAAAATATAAGTGACAGCTGAGTAAAAGTTTTATGGACTTCATGGACAGTTATTCAGTTTTATATTCTATAATTCTTGTCCAGTTTTTCTGCTAGATGATTATTTAGTTTGCAATAAGGGCTGTTCTTTCAAACCTGGATCACAAGATGATTAAATGGAGCACCAATACATGAAGGGGATTGAGATGCTCCCTTTGCTGGTAAAAGCTCTGCAGATTTAGGGGTGATTTGCTATCAAGCATAATTTAGGAAGAAATGAATAATGCACATCTTGCTTCCATACTTTTTCCCCTGGAAGATGTAGTAGGTTGACTGTACACATGGGACCACTAGAACTCCTCTCCTTGGAACCCCATTTTCTTTCTTCTTCCTACATTCTTCATTGCAGGATATGAAGTAATTTGGGGAGAATGCTTTCTGGAAATTGATTTATGGAAAGTCCCAGATTTAAACAGAGATTAATCAAACAGTAACATTAAACAGCAACAAACTTGAAATATGTTGCAGATTAAAATAAATTTGTGTTTAGCAATGTAGTAACAACACAAGGGTTTTTAGGAATTTAATAGTCATAAGCAAGCTGACTCCATCTGTAGGAAAATTCCGTTCTTTCAAATGGTTGGATTTTCATATGAATATCAGAATAAATATACTCTTACAAACTTGAGTACCAGAATCATTATGTTACTTATTTTATCTAGCTCATTTTCTTACTAATAAGATACATGCTTAGATAATTTTTAGTAGAATGGTTATTTAGAAGTGGCTGTAACATGGGGGACCATGAAGATTTCATCATGGTTGGAAGGGTTTTTTTTTTTTTTTTTTCAGTCTCACAGAATGCTTTCTGAAGTCTTAATCATAGCTTGCATTATTTAAAGGTCAACATCTTGATCAAGTGACCTTTCATCAGACAAAACATATTCACTAGAAAAACAGAGAAGGCTAATATTTATATGACCTATGTCTAAGCATTCAGTTTCTCAATAAATATTACTACATATTGAATTTTTAAAAAATCTTATTTTTCACATAGAGGGAGACTAAAGCAAGCTGATTTTTTTTCTAGTTTTCTAGAATCGGATTTTCTATTTTAAAGAGCAGGTATTCTTTTCTTTTATAAAATGATGCTGTTGTCTTCTATAAGTTTTCAATGTCAATGTGCATGGAAGGTAAAAAAAAAAGTGTGTCTTCTGGTAACAAATAAGCTGCTAATATATTACCTATGTCGAACTGAAAACATTCCTATTTTAAATATACTGATTTTTCTTTTCAATAGCCTTTACCATAAAGCGGGTGAGCATTCTTGGCAAGATGTGTGAATTTTAATACACAGCTCTCTCTGGTTGCCATGCATGGCAAAAAAAAAAAATGCCTTCTGAATTTCCCTCTCAGAGGAGGCTTCTTTTTGCCTCCATTTCTTTTTCTCTTGAGCAAAGCAAGGAAACAAACTTTATTTGTGCTGGAGCTGCATTCCTCTTTATGATAGCATTCTCAGTGTGTAATGTTCACATCAATTTAATTATTGCAACATTAAGTATAAATCTTGCAACAATTTTCTTGTGGTATAGGAGAAAACACACAAGAACAATTTAGCATTTCCCTTTTTGTTTATAGTTTTTTTTCTGTTCTGTGAGGAATTGATATGTGTTAGGAGTGTCTAGCAGACAAAAATGTCCTGTTTCTTTCTGTCTTTTTTCAACTCTGTGGAAGATAGGAGGGGAAAAAAAAATCAGGACTCAGGCTTCTTGCTCAGTTTGCTTTTTTATCCTTTTTGAGAATTTTGCTAACAGAGGAAAAAAGTCCAGATGGAAAAGGAAGCCTCCTGTGAGCATTCGATAAGCAGTAGAAAAAGTGCTCAAACAAAACAGAAGAGAGATCAGTGGACTAGAGGAAGGGGATTCAGAGGGAAGGAGGAAGAATGGGAAAGGGAAGAACAGCAGAATGAATCTGACCCAACTTTCCTATGTACCTATGTGAGTATACCCCTGTGAATCTCACCTTCATCCACAAGGCACTAATTAAAAACAAAAACAAAAACAAAAACAAAACCCCAAAACAACAAAACAACAACAACAAAAAACTGTAAAAATAACATAAATATCATTAAAGTAGAGGGAAGGGAAGGGGGGGAGGAGAAAGGAAAGGAAAAGGCAAGGACTAGGGACTGAATTAGAACAAATTATATTCCAAAATAAGCTCTAGTACTGTATATAACTAAAAGGAACTAATAAAAAGGAAAACTTTTTTAAAAAAGTGATCAAACATGGTCCAAGTCTCCTGTCCCAGGTTCTGCCATGAGTGATGAAGATAGCATTGTTCTGCTAAGGGTATTCTCTTAAAGTTCACATTTCATTAGAAGTGACGTTTTATTTAACACAGAATCATCATGCCATTAGGTACCAAAAACTATTCTAAGTTAATTAGCAATCTGAGCTAAGTGAACTTGAACTCATTTGATTTTAACCACTCTGTAAGACAACACATAGAATGCTTAAATGCCTTGCAAGTATTAAATCCGAGTCTAGAATCCTTGAGCTTAACCATTTAAACCATTTTTTTTATTATTGCTAGTTTTATTTATCTCTCATTTTCACGGCATCTTTCTTGAGCATTGTTATTGGTACTATATTAGTATATATGTAATGTGTGGCACTCATTTATATAAATTTAGTATGATCTAAATCAGGAAAGTTGGGTCTATATTTCCTTCCAATTGGTATAGCAGCAAGCTCTTTATCCTTCTAGAATAGACTATCCTTTCATTTCCAAAAGGATTCTCAATAACTTTAAGGTCACCACACTGTGTGATTTAATAGCCTTATAGATAAAACATTATTTCCAATCCCAGGTTCATCTGTCTTTTCAGGACAGACTCTGGCACATTGCTTGAAAAATCTATATTTTAATTGCATGAAAAATGTATATGTACATACTGGGTTTGAGAGACAATTTAATTGACACCGTAGATTGTCTTATTGATTAAGAATGCTAAGGTAAACGTGGCCTCAGAAAGAATTATCCCTACATCCCCATTCCTGTTGTTTCAGGCTGTTGGTAGAGAGCTAATCTTGTATCCTGGTCTCAAAGATGCTGGCTGATTAGATAATGTGATGCTGTCCAGGATTTCAAAGCACTCAAGACCCAACAACCATCCTCATTGTTTTCTTGATTATAATCTCAATGTTTCACTGAGGA